AGAGAGAGAGAGAGAGAGAGAGAGAGAGAGAGAGAGAGAGAGAGAGAGAGAGAGAGAGAGAGAGAGAGAGAGAGAGAAAGAAAGAGTGTGTGTGTGTGCTTTTCCCTCGTGAAGGCGTTGAAGGCCATTTGACGCAAATGTTGTGCAACAGAACCATGATCTTTATTTTCGTTGTTGCTTCTGAAATCAATGTCTCTCATTTGTGTTTTCTTATTTTTATTTTATTTATGTTTTTCTTTTCCTTTGTTCACGGACCTTACGCGGTTGTTTGTCACGCGTAGCGATAAGGAAGTATTCCATGAACATCAGGAGACGTATAATATTGAGAGTTCCCTACTCCCCTAAGGTGGACTTAGCAGGAGTTAGGAGGTTGATGGCTCAATCAATCCGAAAAATTGTACAGCACGGATACCTAGCACGGACACTTGAGAGACGGATGAGGGTGATGTTTGCTAAGTCGAGGACGATCGGGGACTTACTACACAACCATCGAAAGATGGTAAGTAGCCGACCAGAATGTCCGTGTGGGGATTTATCGTTTCCCAAACAGGATGGACATGTATCAATCAGACTTACTGAAGTCACTAATCATCCTCTGCTACTCAACTCTAGGAATGTGCCTTTTCATCCAAGTGGAAACTGTGTATAGACCATAAAGAGCGCTATCACGCGCGCTTTGCATACAGTACCGCTACGTTATAGGAAGGAACAGACCTTCGAAGTTGAGTTGGCAGACTGTGTAAGGAGTCGGGACAACCACACGACTGGGATTAGTATCACGGAGGTGTTCGCACTTAAGAAAAGTTTCCAATCTCTGGTTTGCTCTCCACTGGATCGGAATCCAAGGGAAACTTTCATTGAGTGTCTAATGGTATATTGGGATCAAATGCATACCATGTTTTTTGAAGTGCCCAATTACATTCAGATAGGATCCACGATGACGGATGTACAAGATACAACATTTATTACATACAAGGAGGCAGGACTGACTAAGTTTGGACCGTGGGATAGGCAAGGGCAGTATGGGCATGCGTATGTCATTCCCAAGGATAAGGATGTGTTTAAGAGACGACCAATAGTCTGAACGTTCCAAGAACCCTCACTCAAAGCCTCGAAGCTTCTTGCCAGATGTGTGAATTTTCTGCTGAATTCCGTGAAAGTTGGATTTGGACTCAGTGGGACTAACGATCTGGTCGCACGGATCGAGCAGATTAATGAGCAAGCTAAGTCTTACTTCTCAGATGAGGGTCAAGTTTCCTGTTGTAAATTCGATGTGAAAAAGATGTTCACGTGTCTGGAGCATAGCCACATTGAAAGAGCAATGGATTGGCTAGTTTGTCAACGCCTTGAGACTTGGAACACACATTTGAGAATCAAGATGCAGGGCAAGAAGATTGGCATGGGAAAAGCGAAGGGAGTCTGGGGTTGGAAGACTGTAAAGGTGAGAGATCTGCCGAAGCTGCTACACTTCGATATCTCACACGCTTATTTTCTGGTGCAAGGAACATTGATGAAACAGGTATAAGGGATTCCAATGGGAAAAGGGTCGAGCCCACCGATCGCTAACTTGGTATGCACATATGATGAATATTGTTGGCAACATTCCCCGGGGATGGACGAGTCATTCCTGCATGAGATACGGTTTGTCGATGACATCTTTTTAGCCATCATCCACCACGAGACTGACATGGACACGACACGACGACTAATCGAGTAATTCAGGCAGTGCTACCATCCATCACTGAAGATTGAGGAGACAGCCAGCTTGCACGACGATAAGTTGAAGTATCTGGAAACTAAAATTTGAAAGAATGATGGGCAACCCCCCCGGAAGTGTTTTCATCGGGTTAAGAACGAAGAAGCACTCCGTGAGGGGTTTTCTAGGCGCTTTCGCACGATAAAACACTTCAGGAGTTTTGGCCCTAAAAAATCTAAGTCCCTTACGATACTGGGGACTATCCACAGAATTCTGACGAATACGACGGACCAAAAAGACATTGTGGGTATACTTAGGCTTTTTTGCACTAAAGCCAGGAATTTGGGGTATTCCACAGACACTCTCATTGAGTCTATTTTGGCAATCCGAAGAACTAGGCTACAGAGGACAGTGGCCAAGGAAGTTTTGCACTGGCTATAGACGACTCGGAATGGCTAACTGGTTGTGTGTCCATTCAACGGGCAACGGGTTTTGTACAACGCCGTTGTACCCGTTGAATCCCCTCGGTGTCCCCGTTGAATCCCCGTTGAACGGTATAACGGGGGCTTCCCGTTGAATTTCGATCAACGGGTCGAGCGCAATGGGGCCCGAACACGTGGCGGGACACACGTGGAATAAAAAAAAAGTTCCCATCCCCTACCAATCAATCAATCAATCAATCAATCAATCAATCAA